GCCTGCGGACTGAAGGGTCCCAGGTTCGATTCCGGTCAAGGGCATGTACCTTGGTTGCGGGCATATCCCCAGTAGGAGATGTGCAGGAAGCAGCTGATCGATGTTTCTCTCTCATCGATGTTTCTAACTCTCTATCTCTCTCCCTTCCTCTCTGTAAAAAAAATCAATAAAATATATTAAAAAAAAAAAGAATATAAGTTTATCAACTTCCTGAATTCTCTACCTCCAAAGTTATTAATATAATTTAAAATTTTACATTAACTGTGTCAAAATTCTAATTTAAATATTAAATTATGCTAAGTGGGCTATTCAATATAGTATGAAAGGTATAACTGTACTAATACACTTTAGAAAGAATTTCAATAAGAGTTCAAAGTAAGAGTGTTTTGTAGTTAACCAAGTTAATTATAAAAACAAAGAACTGAAAACCTCATTCAACAGGTCTTTAGTCAGATTTTATTCTCCAATAAAATTGTTATTTTTTAATTAACATTCCCATTGTTAAAATGGCATCACTCTTTTACTCTTCTATTAAGTATAAGTGACTTCCTTCCAAAAAAAGTTTATCATCAGTTTCAAAATTTTGATTAATGTTCTTTATTTAACTCGACCTCATTTTCTTTTTCATAAATAATCATAGCATCTCATAAAGAAGAGAGCTCAGGGTCTGTTCTTTTCCTAATGTGTTTTTCCCGACATACCTTTTAAACTACTTCTCAGGGGAAAAAAAGCTAAGTGGCAAAACTACCAAATACCTATGAAAATAGGGATTGGGCCTAAACTGGCAGTCGGATATCCCTCTCACATACCGGGACTGCTGGCTCCCAACCGCTTGCCTACCTGCCTGATTGCCCCAAACCACTTCTGCCTGCTAGCCTGATCACCCCCTAACCACTCCCCTGCCGGCCTGATTGACGCCTAACTGCCCTCTCCTGCCAGCCCGGTTGCCCCTAACTGCCCTCCCCTGCAGGTCTGGTCCCCCCCAACTGCCCTCCCCTGCCAGCCCGGTCACCCCTAACTGCCCTCCCCTGCCAGCCTGGTCGCCCCTAACTGCCCTCCCCTGCTGGCCATCTTGACCACATGGGGGCGGCCATCTTGTGTGAGGTGTGTCAGTCAATTTGCATATTACCTCTTCATTATATAGGATTATGTTTATAAGTGCCATTAAAATCAAGGCCTTTATCGAGAGGACACATTTTATTTTATGTTGCCCTGGCCGGTGTGGCTCAGTTGGAGCATCATTCCGTGCAATGAAGGGTTGCAGGTTCTATTCCCGGTTGGGGCACATATCCAGATTGCAGGTTTAATCCCCAATTAGGATGCATATGTGAGGCAACTGATTGATGTTTCTATCTCACATTGACGTTTCTCTCTTCCCCCTCCCTCCCATTTCCTCTGAAAAGCAATGGAGTGTATTAACACTCCTCAGGAGTGTATTAACAAAACAACAAAAAAATTCTACTCCATGTATAAATCAGGCAGACTCCAAAAGAGTAGAAATGAAGAATCTTGCTCACCACTATATTCTTAGCACTTAAATACAGTAGCTGCTCAATAAATAGCTATCCAAGTTTAAATGTTTATTTATTGAAAAGAAAATTAGGTTGAGGAAAATAAAAAATACATGAATCTGCCCTGCCCAGTGCAGCTCAGTTGGTTGGAGTGTCATCCCGTACGTACACCTGAAAGTTTCAGGTTTGATTCCTGGTCCGACCCATACCTAGGTTTCAGGTTTGATCCCCATTGGGGCATATACAGGAGGCAACTGATCAATGTTTCTCTCTCCCCACCCCCCTCTCTCTGAAGGCAGTTAAAAAACAAGTACATGAATCTAGGTTAAGGTCTAGAGCATGGACTGTGCTTAGTGACTTGCTTCCAGAGTAGAATATGGAATGAGTGGATATGGGGGTGAAACCTGGCAAACAAAGACCTCAAAAAGGTGATCATGGTTAACATAATTTTATCATATTATTTGCAAGTAACCTTGATATATTGTGATGAGAATGGCTCTTTACCTCTGTTGTCTTGCTCCCTAAAAACCATGACTCCAGTCTAATCAAGAAGAAAACATCAGAGATATCACCTCATACCTGTCAGAATGGCTATCATCAATAAATCAACAAACAAGTATTGGTGAGAATGTGAAGAAAAGGAAACCCTCATGCACTGTTGGGGAATGCAGATGGGTGCAGCCATTGTAGAAATCAATACGGAGTAACCTCAAAAAATTAGGATGGCCTGCGGACATCCCCCGAGGTCCTGGATTACAAGAGGGCACACGGCTAGGCTGAGGGACCCACCGGTGCACGATCGGGGCCGGGGAGGGACCATAGGAGGGTTCCGGGGCGTGTTCGCCCCGTCTAGCCCAGTCCTGATCACCCGGACCCCAGCAGCAAGCTAACCTACTGGTTGGAGCACCTGCCCCGTGGTGGTCAGTGCGCATCATAGCGACTGGCTTTTATTATATAGGATAGCCAAGATTTGGAAGCAGCCCAAGTGCCCATCAGTAGATGAGTGGATAAAAAAGCTGTGGTACATTTACACAACGGACTACTACTCAGCCATAAAAAAGGAAGGAAATCTTAACTTTTGTGACAGTGATGGATGGACCTGGAGACAATTATGCTAAGTGAAATAAGCTAGTCAGAGAAAAACAAGTACCATATTAAGTGAAACCTAATGAACAAAATAAACAAAGTGGAGACAGTCTCATGGATACAGAGAACAGACTGACAGCAATGAGGCAAGGGGTTGAGGGCTAGGTGAAAAGGGTGACTCAGGGACACAGATAATAGTATGGTGATTGCCAGAGAGAAGGGAAGGTGGGGAGAGATAGAAGAGGATAAAGCGAATGGGAGGATAAATGGTGATGGACGGAGACTTGATTGGAGTGGTAAACAAACAATACAATATGTAGGTGATATATTGCAGAACTGTGCACCTGAAACTTGTATAATTTTGTTAATCAGTTTCACCCCAATAAATTCAATTTAAAAAAATTTTTTAAATCTCAATCGAGGAGCATTCTATAAAATTTCTGACTAGTACTCCTCAAAATTGTTATAGTCATCGAAAACAAGAAAAGTATGAGAAACTGGAATTCTGGAACCAAAAATGGGCACTAAGGGAAAACTAGTGAAATCTGAATGAAGTGTGTAGTTTAATAGTAATGTAGCAATTTTGTTTCCTTAGTTGAGACAAATGTACCATAGTAATGTAATAAATTAACAAGAGGAAAACTGGATGAGGTATTACTCTATGTACTATCTTGCAACTTTCTGTAAATGTAAACTAGCCTAAAAAAAAGTTTATTTAAATTTTAAAAAGTTTAGGATAAGGGAAGTAAGGAATACATAAATCAAAATCCCTTGGAAGAAAATAATAACAAACATTATTTTGGTCCCTTTATATTTGGTGGTAAAAATAGAGATAGCATTCTCATACAGTGGAAATAAAGTTATTAAAACAATACCATAGTTATTATACTAGTCTATAATATTAATTATGAAGTCACGTGACCAAAGCAAATGCCCCCTGAATTCTAATTTCTCACAATATCTTTTTCTCAGTTCTCAACACTTCAATTATTAACTCTATGACAAAAATTCCTAACATCAGCTGTCAGCTCTATATTGACTGAATGATCCCACACTTTCAGCTTCTAGTCACTAAAGGTCAAATTCACCTTACACTCAACTAAACTCACCACCCTCTTTGTGATGTTCCCCTTCTAAATCTCCTCAGTCATTTTTTTTTCAATAGATCTCTTCCCTTCTCCGTCCTCTTCAGTCCCACAGTTAATAATTAGTCCTACACATTGCTGTCAAATGAACCTCCCTCAAATAAGGATTTTATCACATCATTCCAGGCTCAAATGCCATATTTAAGTTCAGAAGTGATGTTTTCAAGGCCATCCATAATTGTTTATTCTTTTGTACCCATCACATATAAAAAAAGACCTTTCCATCATCTCTCTACCTTATAACGTAAGTCCTGCTTTTCCTTTATTCACAAAATAATAAAATATCCCACTAAGCATATAACATATATCTGAGAAGATAAGATTTTATAATCTTCTTGGAGTAATAAAACTTAAAAAGATAACTAATAACATGGGAATTTGTCTATTCAAGGATGTATCCTCAGTTCCTATAAGAGTGCCTGGCATATGGTAGGTGCTGAAAAAAAATTTATTAAATGAAAACAAGGCAGTACAGAATGTTACAGTCCAAAAGAATTTGGTGTTATTAGTGATGAGAGTTTTCAGTTGGAGAGAGAAAGGCAGATCTAAAATTGTATTATTTTAAGGCTCTCTGGGCAATCAAAATTACAACTAAACCTCAAGCTTGAGCAGATCTTCAGCAGTTAAGAGGATGTGTGCAGGTGCATGTCAACAGAAAAATGTTATATCAACAAAGGTAAAAAAAAAAAGAAGTAAAACTGGTATATCATGTTGAAGTAGTGAATAAACAGTTCTTATAGGTTAGTGGAAAAGATGGGAGAAGACAGGAACCAAAGTTTGAAAAGTCTTGAGAAGAAATTTGGTATTCATGCTTGATCCTCAGGAAGATTAATTTAATGGGAGTAAAACTTTAGAAAGCAGGAGAGCCCTATTTCTTCAAGAAGCCTCCCCTATCTACTCAAACCTCTAGTTTTCTTTCCCTCTTAACTTACAGCACCTGCCTGCATCATACAATTTAACTCCTAAATATATCATCTCACATTGTAAACTCACTTTCACATGTTAACACATTGCGTACCGCATAGAAATCTCTAAGACATACGCCAGGGACTGCACGTTTTTGGGCAAACTGCACGTTATTTAAATCATCATAATGCACTTTAAGTGTTGTTTTTCAATAATTATAACATTTTTTTTACAAAAACAATTAAACAATTAAAGTTCCTAGTACTTTTTTAATGTATGGTACTGCGTAAAACATTTTCCTCTATGAAGAGGGACCAAACAAAATTTACCTAAGTATCTAGATTCGCTCCTTTTTCCATGGGCGTGAAAAACGAGAACACTCGTGAGCGGTCCTTAACAGATGGCGCACGAAACACGCGAAAACTCCTGAGCGGTAATGTGTTAATCTAGTCTCTTCAACCTAAGAATAGGGATCAAATCTTAGGCCTCTTTTTCTTCCCTAAGAAATCAGCAAAGCATTAGACCTTCAAAAGTTTGTTTTCGGAGGACCTTTTTGCACTTATGCAAAAATGACAACTGAAGAGCAACACATACATAGCTAAGCTATAAACTGGCATAAGAACAAGACTATTTTTTAAAGTTTCATTTGATAGTCAGATCCCATAACTAATAATGTAGTTATCTTCCAGTGTATGTTTTCAATGCTTTCTGCTTTATGTAAGTATTTCATTACCTCATTTACTTTTCTTTCTCACCTAAGCATTGCTCTCAGTGGTCAGTACACATACTCATTTCTCAATCCCATTATCTTTTCTGCACTGAAGCCTTCCTGATATTTTTGTCTGTTAACTTCATTAAGAACCATTACCATGGTGTAATTAAAACTCTAATAAATGTTGCTGCTATAATTTCTCTACACAATTCTAAATGTTTCTAAATTTCTCTACACAGCCTTAATGTTTCCTGTGGTTTAGCACTCTTCAAGTAAAACTGGTTAAATAAAAACATATGTTATGGAAACAATTCAAATACACAATGTATTCACAAAAAGAAACATGATGCTTTAGTAACCAGGGATTGTATTTAAATTCTAAAAGTTTCCAAATGCTCCAAAAGTTTAGATTTTAAAGTTTTAAATCTTCTGACATTTAATTTTTATATAGTCTAAAAATTAATTTTCATTCCCTTAAAATCTGTCCATGTTAGCATTCTTATTAATACCTTTCAAAAAAAAAAAAACTTAAGAAAGTGTGCATACATAAATCAAACGAGCGTTTATTTCAGCCCTAAACAAGTATTTTCAACGGTAATAATCCTTTCAGGTCACGACTTTTTTGTAAAAAGAAAAAACTTTTAGGTTTTTATAAAGCGACCAAAAAGAAATCCTCCAGAATGTGATTATTGATGATTACACCAGAACCTCTCACTAATGGCTCTAAAATTCAAACATCGCCCCAACTCCCGAGGTAGGAAACTCCATCCATAATGTACCATTCTATTCCCCACTACTCTTTAATGGGTACTTCATGCTGCTGAGATTTTAAAAATGAATCACCAAAACGGCAAAGGACGGCAAAAATGTCAACATATACCTTACAAGGACTGCAAGGAAACAGATAAGTCTTTCGATTCGGACATGTACAGTTCAGCTTTTTCCACTTCCCCATCTCAGAAAACACCAAAATAAATGTGGATGGAAAGCCACGGCACGGTTACAAAGCCCCCGGCTACCAGCGAAGTGCCACCCTAGTGGCACTAGGACAATCTCTAACACTCCGCCGGCCACGTGGCTGTCACAATTAGGAGGACGGGAGAAACGGCGTAAACTAACCAGAAATAAATAATCGCACTCCTCCCCCCGCCTCGGAGTTCGGGTAGAAGCAAGTATGTGTCATTTCTTTGCATGTAAAGACTTTTTTCCTGTAAGGAGGAAACTAAGTCCAGAGGCCGCTACAAAGAGACTTGAAGTCGAAACCGGGTCAAAGGAGATGCCGAGAGTGTGCCCCCAATGAACTGGGTACCCCAACTCCCCCGAGCTGTGGTGGGAAAAAGCATCCCGAAAAAGGGTCAAAGGGGTGGAGGTGAGGAAGATGGAGCACAGGCACAGGGGCCGCTTTCCCCGGACTCCCACCGCCCGCCCCGGTTCCAGACTCGCTGCGGCGGCGGCCGTGGGGCAAACTGGAGGCGTAAGAGCCGCACGCACGCCCTCCCAGCTCACACCCAGGAGGGAAGACCGAGGGCAGAGGTAACCGCGGCCCCAAGAGCGCAGGCGAACAGGAAGTGTCCATTTTGTAGCGCCGAAACACTAACTCCCATCCCACCTCGACAGCCACCCTCGGAGGCCCCCAGGGCGTCCGCTGGAGGAGGAGCCAGAGGGTGCCGGGGTCGGCCACCCCCACATCCGGGACCCGAACCCGGCCACCCCAATGCCCCGGCACCCAACCGCCCGAAGTTCACTCCTGGCTGCGCCTTCCGGGACGCTACTTGGCCGGGCTCAGCCGGAGTCCGCCCGGGGCCGGGCGAGGACTCTGCGCCCCGCACGTCTGGCTCCCAGACGAGCCAGGGAAGGGGCGTTGCAAAGACTCCGGGGGGCCTCGGGGCAGCCACTTCCTTGCACAGCGGATTCTCCCCAGTCGAACCCTCAGCGTCCTCGGGGTCACCTCCAGCCCTTCCCGAGAGACGGCACCCTTCGCCACAGTTTCCTCCGCGCGACACCCGCTCCCGGGCGGCCAATACCTTTCAGGAAAAACTCCGAACTCCTCCCGGGGCCGCACTCCCGTCAGTTCGACGCCCCGGGGAGCCCACACACCACCCAAGCGGCGCTCTGGGGAGATCCCCGAGCCGGAGCCAAATCCTCAGGACGAAAATGTCCGGGCGCGTCACGGGACAGCCGCCTCCGGGCCCCACGCCCGGCGCTGGCCGCACGCGCTGCTTGTGCCCGGGAGCTGCGCCGCGACCCCGGGCGGGGAGCGCGGACGCCGGACGGAGTGGGCGCCGTTCCACCTGGGACTCACCGTCAGCTCGGCCGCCGCGGCGGGGAGGCAAGGGACGGGAAGGGGAAGACACAATATGGCAGAGCACCGCAGCTGCTCCCGGCAGTTTCCAGCAGCCGCCTCCGGGAAGACGCGGCCACGAGCAGGCAGCAGCAGCTGCGGTGCCGGCCGCGGCAGTACCACATCCCCCCCTCCCGCTGGCTTCCTCCCTCTCCCCCCGCCCTTCCCCCCGCTGCCATGGCAACGTGGCGCCAAGGAGATTAGCCCCGCCCCTCCCTCCCTCGGTTCCCGCCTCCCGCAGCCTCTCGGGAGGAGCGCTCGGCCCGCCCCTTCCCGTCCCCGCCCACCTCAGCTGAAGGGCCGGCTCGGACCCGGAGGCGGCCCAGGAGGGCGGGTAGGGGAAGTAGGGGGCTGCGGTGTCCGGAAGGGCGGGGCTCGCACGGAAGGTAGGGCGGAGACGTGGTGGGCCAGTGCGGGTTTCGGGCTGAGGAGAAGCTGGGGAAGGCGGGAAAATGGAAAGGCCTCGCGTCCCGGGAAGGACCTATAGGAGTGCGGCGGGGCGCGGCGCGGCCGCTGACTGGCCGAGGAGGCGCGGGGCGGGGCGGGGCGGGGTGAGGGTGGCTGTCCCGGCTGGTCGTACCGGGACCGTGAAGCCCGTGCTGGCCCTGCAGGGACAGCCCCCAACAGCCCGAGCCTCTGCGGTTTCCCCCGAGAGCCTTCCGCCCTTGGCCAGGCTTTTTGAAAGCGCTTGAGGGACGATAAAGCATGAATATAAACTTAGGGCATTAGTACCTGCGTTGACTGAAATTTTATGTGGAAACTGAACTCAAGGTATTTGTGGTGGGGGAAAAAAAATGACTTTGGAATCAGAACCAAAATGTAATGAGCATAGCATTTACAGAGTGCACACAAAGTGCTAGGGACAGGGCTGAGCCTTTACGTGGGTGGTCACCACCATAATGCGAACCTAGTGTTGCCAGGTAAGATACAGGAGTGCCCAGTTACATCTGAACTTCGGGTCAGAGTAGCATAATTTTTTAAATATAAAATCTTCCACTTGGGGTAGTCTTTCTAATTTTTTTTTTGTTTGCTAAATCTGCCAACCCTATCCTAACTCTTACACATTTCCAGAGGAGGAAACTGAGGGTTAGAAAAATAACCTGTCAGATATAAAGTAAGTGGCAGAACTAAGGCCCTATTTTACTAAAATTATGATGCTGATAGTGAAATCTCTGAATATCTATATCCATGTCCTCAAAAACTACAGTAGTGATACCTACCTCCTCACAAATGCGTTGAGAGGGTTAAAAGAACAGGTATATATATGAAAGAGACCTGCGCAGTGCCTGATGCATAGTAGGTGCTAATGGAGGTTTCCTTCCTTCCTGAACAATGCATGTTAATTGGATAGTCCCTGTGTGCCAGGCTCTGTGTGTAAGTGAGCTGAGTATGGAACAAGCTGCCTACTAACAATAAAACAAGTCAAGCTGAGGGGGTGACAGCGATAAAAAAAAAAAAAAGAATTAATAGGCATCAGGATATATAAAAACAAAAATGGAAGTTTGATCCCTCTCATTCCACAGATGAAAACACTGCAATTATATGATTTGTCCAAAGTCATCTGCTAATTGCATTTGTTTTTCTTTGTAATCTTTATTGTTGAGGTTATTACAGATGTCCCTCTTTTTTTTCCCCCATATCCCCCCTCCACCCAGTTTCCCCCAGCCCCAGGCCTTCGTCGCCCTATTGTCTGTGTCCATAGGTAATGCATATATGTACATAAGATCTTTGTTTAACCTCTTCCTGCCCCCCAACCCCCTTCCCTCTGAGAATTATCAGTCTGTTCCATGTCCATGCCTCTGATTCTATTTTATTCACCAGTTTATTCGGTTTATTAGATTTCTTATTCATCTATTTTTAGATTCAATTGTGGATAGGTATGTATTTGTTGCCATTTTGTTCATATTTTTTATCTTTTTCTTTTTCTTCTTCTTCCTCTTCTTAAAAAATACCTTTCAACATTTCATATAATCCTGGTTTGGTGGTGATGAACTCCTTTAGCTTTTTCTTGTCTGTGAAGCTCTTTATCTGACCTTCAATTCTGAATGATAGCTTTGCTGGATAAAGTAATCTTGGTTGTAGGTTCTTGCTATTCATCACTTTGAATATTTCTTGCCATTCCCTTCTGGCCTGCATAGTTTCTGTTGAGAAATCAGCTGACAGTCATATGGGTACTCCCTTGTAGGTAATTGACTGTCTTTCTCTTGCTGCTTTTAAGATTCTCTCTTTGTCTTTTGCTCTTGGCATTTTAATTCTGATGTGTCTTGGTGTGGTCCTCTTTGGATTCCTTTTGTTTGGGGTTCTCTTCGGTTCCTGGACTTGTAAGACTATTTCTTTCACCGGGTGGGGGAAGTTTTCTGTCATTATTTCTTCAAATAGGTTTTCAATATCTTGCTCTCTCTCTTCTTCTGGCACCCCCATAATGCGAATGTTGGTACGCTTGAAGTTGTCCCAGAGGATCCTTACACTATCTTCATATCTTTGGATTCTTTTTTCATTTTGCTTTTCTGGTTGGGCATTTTTTGCTTCCTCATAGTTCAAATCATTGATTTGTTTGAGGCTCCCTGACCCAGCTGCATCTTGTTTGAGAGATTTTACCCTGAGCAAGGAAAGGCTATTTATATGCAAAGGCTGCTTCACACAGCTTGGATGGGGTTTTAAATTGGATGAGGCGGGGACTTAGGAAATCACCAGGGTGGAGCAAATAGAAATGGCTGCCAGTCAGCCCTGCAACTGGGGAGGTCTCAGCATAGGAACAATGATCCCTGTGAGCACCTCCATCTGGAAGAAAGCTGCCCCAATGCCAGATAATCCATTTCCTCCTGGTATGTGTCTGTGCTCCCCAGAGCCTCTCCCTGGTGTTGGAGCTCAGAGGAAGCAGGACCTTGTAAGTTCAGTTTGTAGTGCCGGCCTTTTAAGAGGAACAGCTGGGTCTCCTCTAGCCTCTGTGTCACTGAGCCCCAATCCACGCTGGTTTTTACAGCCCATAGTTCTTACTTCCCATAGGGACTTCTTTTTCCAGCTCTGGAACCCTGGACTGGGGCTCTGGTGTGGGGCTGGGACCCTTTGCTCCTCCGGACAGCCTCCACAGAGGCAATCTCCCTCCCGATTAAAAAATCGGCACACGTGGGTGCAGGACCAGCCCATTCCACACTCCGAGTTTCCTACCAGTCTCAGTGTGCTTTCTTCTTTACTTCTCTAGTTGTAGGACTTCCATTCAGCCAGCTTTCCAGCAGTTCTGGATGATGTTTGTTCTGTATTTTAATTGTAATTTTGATGTGGTTATGGGAGGTGGCAAGTACAGGCGTTTACCTATGCTGCCATCTTCCCCCTCTCTCTGCATTTGTTTTTCTAAATCTTTTTTTTTTTTAATACATATATATTTTATTGATTTTTTACAGAGAGGAAGGGAGAGGGATAGAGAGTTAGAAACATCAATGAGAGAGAAACATCGATCAGCTGCCTCCTGCACACTCCCTACTGGGGATGTGCCCACAACCAAGGTACATGCCCTTGACCGGAATCGAACCTGGGACCCCTCAGTCTGCAGGCCGACGCTCTATCCGCTGAGCCAAACCAGTCTCGGCCATAGTGGCATTCTTTAGGCAGAAGGAAAATTATCCCAGTTGTAAGGTTAGATATACATGAGGAAATAAAGATCAATTAAAACAATAAATATGTGGGTAAATAAATGAATATTGATATTGTCTATATAAGATAATAGTAATGTCTTCTTTATTTAAAAATACATAGCACTGGCATAAAACTCAGGAGAGGGTAAATGAAATCAAGTGTTCTAAAATCCATACATTGTCTTACAGGTTGGAAGAAGTTACAATTAATAGTAGACTCTGGTAAGTCAAGAATCCATCTTGTAATCTCTAGAAGAATCACTAAGAGAATAGTAAAAGATTAGTCAAGGGTCACCAGAGAAACAGAACCAACACAATGCATATGTGTGTATGTATAGATAAAGAGAGAGACTTATTTTAAGTGACTGTGGAGGCTTAGTAAATCCAAAATCTTCAGGGTAGGCTGGCAACTGAGGGAAGAGTTGCAGTTTCAGTCCAAAGGCAGTTTTCTGGCAGAATTCCTTCTTGCTTAGAGGTGGTCAGTGTTTGTTCTATTAAGGCCTTCAACTGATTGGATGAGGTCTGCTCATATTATGGAGGATAATCTGCTTTACACAAAGTACATTGATTTAAATGTTGATCATATTCAAAATACACTCACAGAAACATCTAGAATAATGTTTGAATAAATATCTGGACACTGTGGCAATGCCAAATTGACACAAAATTAATCATCACACTATGCAACTTTCCATCTAAAAAAGGGAGAAGAGGAACAGAGTAATAAAAAGTAATCAATCTTTCCCTAGCTGGTTTTGCTCAGTGGATAGAGCGTCCAACTGAGGACCCAAGGGTCCCAGGTTCGATTCCTGTCAAGGGCACGTACTTTGGTTGCATTTTACTATATTTCATAATTTTGTGGGTCAAGAATTTGGATAGGAAACCAGAGGGATGGCTCATCTCACCTCTGGGTGATGGCTGCTGGGTGAAATGTCCTAGATAACCTCTTTACTCTCATGTCAGGCACCTCAGGTAGGATGGCTTCAATGGTGGGGGTTAGCTGGACCAACCTGACTGAAATCATATGTGTGGGTCCTTTATTCTCATTGTTAATTGGGTCCTTTGGTTTTTGTTCAAGTAGTTCCATGACTTTCTCTTCTTCACATAGTCTCTCCAGGCAGATAGGCAGACTTCTTATACACAAGCTCAGGGTTTTCAAAAGGACTTGGAGTTAGCATATTGTTACTTTTTCCCACATCTGTTGGATAAAGCAAAATACATGTCCTTTCCAGAGTCAAAGGGAGGGAACTATATAAGGGTGTAAATGTTAAAAGATCTGATAAACCTGGAACTACCAATCCATTTATGACATAAGACAAAAAAAATCACAATTCAGCTACATGCTGTTTACAAGGGATATGTCTAGAACATACTAATGCAGAAAAGAATAGAAAAAAAAACTAAACCATGTGATATTTTCTAAGGAAAGCTGGAATAGCTATGTTAATATTGGATTAAGTAAACTCTAAGACAAAAAAGCACTACCAGAAATAAAGAGAGACTCTTCATAATAATAAAGATTTAATTTGCCAGGAAGATGAAAAAATTTTAAGTTTTATTACCCTAATAACATATTACATAAAACAAAGTTACACCACTACAAGGAGGAATACAAAATTGATGATTTCAGCAGGAAATGTTAATATATTATTACTAAAAAAAAAATAGGCAGAAAATTCAGTAAGAATATAGGTTTGAACAACACTGTGAGCAAAATTAAGTGTAAAGGCATATTGAGTGCATTCCTATAGTCC